TTGAAATCTGGAGCTACACTTAATGTTGTACAACAGCAGGGTCATGCCAACACCTTTGGCTTTGACCCCCATTTTTCCCAGTAAAATAAAAAGACTGTGTCTCCATCCCTTTTAGTTCTTGGGATAGGCTTTTTTTTTTTTTTTTTTTTTTACTGCAATGAGAAATGGGAATGTGAGAGAGGGAAAAGGAAAGAAAAACACAACATTTTAATAGACCCAGTGGAACCCTTTCAAAAAAACTCTGACTGTTACAATCTGTTACATCAGAAAATCATGAAGGAGAATAAAAAAAAAAAAAAGATCAGCCCATGAAAAGTTTCACATGAGATTGTTACTCATTTTCCCAAGCAGCTAAACATTTTAATAAACTAGGAAAATGAGACTGTAAAACCACAACATCTGACAGCAAGCCCCAGGGGCAGGAACCATTCCTGAAACTAATTTTAACTCAGGTTTTAACACTGATCAGATTTCAAGAGGAGAATGTCCCCTTAAGCTGTTTCTCTTTTCTTGGAGAAGTCTTGGTTTCTTATGTTGACTCTGAAAAGCAATTTTCTTCCCAGTGCATTGCTCTCAGAGGCACATCAGGACCTTTCTGTCATTCATTTCTCTACAGCCCAAGAGATGCCCTGCCCAGACATCTCCTCATTTCTCCTCTGTTTTCTTATGTGAGAGGATGTTTTCCACAGAAGTGGCACTGCTCCCGTATCAAAGCCTCATCTTAAATGGTCCCCATGCAGCCACTCAAGGACCCAAATCATTGAACAACCATACTGAAAGCACTGGGCCAATTCAGACCAGCTGAGGCCAGGATCCAACAAGACCTTCCAGTTTCTTCGAAGGGCAGTGAGTCTGCTGCACCAGCCTCTTCTCCTCAGGCACACAAATCTCACTGTGCTTTGGCTGACACTGGGACATCTACAGATAGAACTGGCATTTTCACTGCAAGACTCAATCAACAACATAGCTGTGAGCTGAATGAGGATAAAAGATAATATCGGGGTAGCGTAGATTCATAGAATCACAGGGTGGTTGGGTTGGAAGGGACCTCAAAGCCCACCCAGTCCCACCCACTGCTGTGTGCAGGGCTGCCACCCACCAGCTCAGGCTGCCCAAGGCCCCATCCAACCTGGCCTTGAGCACCTCCAGGGATGGGGCATCACAGCTTCTCTGGACAGCCTGTGCAAGAGCTTCATCGCCCTCTGAGTAATGAATTCCCACCTAACATCTAACCTAAATCTCCCCTCTTTTATCTTAAAAACATTCCCCCTTATCCTATCGCTATCGGATCACGTAAAAAGTTGGTCTACCTTCTGTATATCAGCTCCCTTTATTTCTTCTCGTGGAAGCGTTTTTCATCTTCTGGTTAAGTTCAGACAAAACCATTTGCCCTTTGGGCAGGACTACTTTATGCTGCACTGATTGTCTGATACCTGGGTTGTCTCTATTTTGAGTTCCATGTCTCACATGGCTGCGTGAGATGGAGCGCTTTGCATTTCTCCCGTAATGGTCACTGCCATTACGTAGTTCCTGCCACTGCTCAGCATGAATTTCCAGTTCAAAGACATGTTGTGCAAGAGAAGAAAGCGGGGTTCTTGGCTGCTTCACAAGCTGCCTAAAGCTCACAAGAACGACCAGGCTGGAAAGCAGCTCCGCAGGCCCCCTCTTTCTTCTTCATCGGTAATTACAGCGCTCATTCATTTCTAGGTCCCTCTTTGATGAGGTAGATGGTCTTTCTGATGCCTTTTCTTTAAGCCTCATGCAAGCTGTGTGGGAGATGCTGGTGTCTGAGGGATGAGGTGGGATGGGAAAATAGGGTGACCAGTTTCCAGCATGCTAGAGGCATGGAGATAGTCCCCCTAAGCCCTGCCAGCCCAGCAGCAGCAGGCTTAGTCAAATCAGCAGCATCAAAGCTGAGCAGCTCTTTGGAGAAAGGGCACGTGTCCTTTCAACCAGAGATTACAGGAATCTCTCTCTGATTCCAGCAGTCTGATTTGAAGCACTCTTTAAAGAGAAATACCTGATTGTGGTGCTGCTGCCATGTAAAACAGCCCCTTTGCCTTCCAGCTTTCCCCGCATTGCTCTCCCCCAGCCATTTATTCATGTGTACAAGCACAAAATGGTGCCAAAATTCATTCCCCATTGAGTGGAATTGCCTAGCTTTCATGGCAGGATCTGTGCTGAGAAAGGGGTTGTCCATAAATGTGCTAGAAAGCCTGTAGCCTATTTGGGCTGGCTCCTTCTCCCTGTTGTCTTTAGCAGGGACAGCAGGAAGGCAGAAAACTGCTCTTAGCATCAGGAAGAAAGAAATGCAGAGATAAAAAGCTCTTTGCCCTGCAGTTTCCATTCCTTCATGACTTAATTTTTTTTGGTCAGGGCACAGAGAAGATTATAAAGCTGTAACCTCTAATCCGCTCCCGAGTGCTCTTTCTCCATCTCTTCCTTTCTCCTCTCTTTCAGCCAGTTCTAATCCTTTATGTCTCCTCTCTCACAGGTAGGAGTTGGAGTCTGATCTCAGACGACAGGTTGATAATTAGAGCAAAAGATTATCCTGACCCCATATCAAGAAAGTAAAAAGAGAGGACTAATGCAGGGCCATACAAGCCTTCAGTGTTTAGAGCAGAAAACATCCTCATCTCCATCTCTCCTCCTGTGATCCCCTTTTTGTACTCTCTCCCTTGCCCCAGCCAAGGAGTGATTCTTAATTTCTTACATTTCTTGCCCACCTCCCCTCTGATGGCCAAGAGCTGTATTTTTTCAGCACTCATTCAGCACAGAAATGATCACATTTTCCATTTCTGAAGGGAGAGTAGAGTCAGAGTTTAATGAGGCAGAGACTCAGCCAAAGGGCTGCAGCTGGGAACAGTGGGAAATGGGGAAGCCCAGGCACATACAGAAAAAGAAGCCTCAGAGAAACTGAAGCCAAGGCACACTTCCAGTGATCCTCAGTCTGGCACTGGGTATCCTGATCCAGCACCCTTCTGATTCAGTACAGTGAAACCACAACAAGGAGCAGCGGGTCCCATCTCCACCCACATGCTCAGCAGTCACCACCCAGTCCTTAATCTGTTCAGGAAAGCATGCTGCTCCCATCTCCCGTAAGCATCCCAGCACAGATGGGAAGCCCATCCATGTATCCAGCCCATGTTATCCATCTTTGGTGCAGATCTCTCTTGTCCTGTACCACTGGTACTCAGCAAGGACCAAAAAGCCCTGACCATCATAAGTAAGGGGAAACTGGGAGCACCAAGCTTCTTCAGTGCCCCATCCCCTACATGCACAAGGTGAAGGGATATCACCAGGACCCACTGTAGCTTGGGCATCACCAACCAACAGCCTGAAGGCACCAGGGGGTATCAGGATAGAGATGGCAGTGGAGAGATCGAAACCTGCAGGGGAAAGAGTGAAGGAACGTCATGTGGCAGTTTTTACTGCAGAACAAGGTGGGGACTAGAAAGCTTCTCTCTTGTGTAACCATCCCACATCAGACGCTCGCCCTGCATTACAGTGCTCTGGGTCTGGCTGCTCATCTTACAAGGTCTTGATTTGGCAAAGCTGAGCAGCCAAGCTTTCCTCCAACACCTGAATCCATGCTAATCCATGGAGCCCAACTCACTTTTCACCCTGATCACATTCAGCGAGATGGGGATTACACCAGATCCTGCTAAACTGCTCTGTAGATGCCCTTTTAATTGTGTGGTTGCTTCCCACCCTACTATCTCCAGCCAGAAGCTTCCTAGCCAAGTTCTGCAAATAACAACTTCAGGTTTGTTCACTCAAAGCAGAGCAAGTAAATCAAAGAGCACTTTTGTTTGCAGTCATCCTGAAGCAAATCTTTTTCTTTTCTCCCTTCAATTTTCTCAGCAAAAGAAAAGAAAGTAAAATAAAGCAGAATTTCCTCTCCTGAGTTTAGAAGAACATTTCAGTTCCTGTCCCAGAGGTAAAAGGTTAGCTTGTTCCTTTTCTGTGTGAAATGAATGGCAAAACTTTTGGCTCAGTAGCTGTTCAAATAAAATGTTATAATAATTATTTTCTTTCCTTTCGTCCAAAGTGGTTTGCAAAATGTGTGTTTGCAAACATCTTAATGTTGGTGTGACCCTCACCCAATAAGACCTGTTACTGCAAGGCTTTTGTCCCTCACTCTAGACCTCCTGCCCCCTATTTGGCAGCCTGCCCCAGCCACTCTGCTGTCCTACAGCTCAAACCTCAGCAGTGCACTGAGCAATCACATCCCATACCTTGAGGGATCTTCCTGGGGTGAGAAGGGACCACTTAGTTTGATAACGTTGAGCTTGTTCTCAAAGACACCATAGCTGAGTGTGACCTGAAAAGACAGGCAGGGAGAAAGGAGCAGGGAGGGTGATGTGTTCCAGAATCTGCTTTGGGTGACAAAATCTCCCATTCTCATTCCATCTCTGGTGGCTTGGCCTCTGCTTTCCAACTCTCCTCTCCTCCTTTCCATGGTGGAATATTGTAAATGCCCCCAGTCCTAGAAGCATTCAAGGCCAGGCTGGATTGGCCTTTGAGCAACCCGATCTAGAGGGAGGTATCCCTGCCTATAGCAGAGGGCTGGAACTGGATGATCTTAAAGGTCCCTTCCAACACAAGCCATTATATGATTCTATGATTCTATGGTCCACCATGTAAGCCACCTGCACCACTTGTTACCTACCCATGTGAGACAGACATGGTGCAAAAACCTTTCCCAACCAGTCACTGTTTCTCCTTGTCCTGATACCATGATCCCTCCAAGGTCTGCCCCCATCCTCCCCTCACTCCCTCTACACATGCTACCCACCACCAATACACAGCAATTGGCATCTGTGCTGCAGGCAACATCTGCTCCTTATTGCAAGGAAGCATTTGTTGGCAAAATATCTTCAAAAGTGCAGACAATTATTTCAATTCACTTGTTTCCGTTGCTCACCTGCTGCATGAGATGAGAGCTGGGGATGAGTTGCAGATTCTCCAGGTGGGAGTGGAAGAGCATGTTGGGCAGCAGTTGCCCACCAACTTTGCACTCAATGATGTAACCTATGGTGCAGTCGTCTGGCAGACGGATGAGCTCTGAGGTGCTCAGGAAGTTCTTGCCACTGGAAGAGAGCAGGGCTGCATGAGTTACGTAAAGGAGTAGGAGGAATATAGGAAACCACTTCACTGAAAACCAGAGTAAACCTTGAAACAAGGAAAGAAATCCCTTAGTCCAAATGCAAAGATGTGGGAATGTGTCTGCTCTTCAACCATGTCCAACCATGCTGTCCCACCAATTGCTTGATGTATCCCTGACAAATAGAATCACAGAATCATTAACGTTGGAAAGACCAATGAGATCATCCAGTCCAACCATCAACCCATCTCCACCATGCCAACTAAACCATATCCCATGTCATCGTCACCACCACAACCATGTTGATGGTTGGTCTGGATGATCTCATTGGCCTTTCCAATACTAACAGTTCTATGATTCTATCCGTGTCTCTTGAAATTTACCCCAGATAACAAATCATTGTCCTTTCTGGATTTTGCACAAAGAATGTATCTTCATCTAAATCAGTAAAAATTGGACCATGAGCCACCCAGTGTGGACCAGGTCTGTCTTTCTGAGTATGCAAAGACTTGGTTAAGGCTTGCACAGATCATTCCTGTTGGCGTTTGTGCATAACCTAGGGCATCCTGGAAAACATCACCATGTAGGTTGGGCTAACACATGTCCCCAGGACCCACTGCCATTCTCTATACATCAAGCTGAGGAGATGACCATGGACACTGTAAGCAGCTGAATAGAGTTTAAGGTGGAGGAACTGGAAATCAGATCAAGAAGGAGGCAGAGGAGGTTGGAAAGAGACAGAGCTCAGTCTGAGCACTTACAAAAAGAGCCAGAAAAAGCTGAAAGAAAAAGGAAGGAAGGTTGAAGGATAACCAAAAGCTGGAAGGAGTTGGAGGAGGAGTGTGTCATCATGTGATAATGTTTGCTGATGTGCCTGCTCCTGTCTTTCTTTAATCAGGTGGGAGATCCACCCACTACGTCCTTCCTTCAGTCCTGCATGCTTGTGGAATTGAAGTGTGTGGCTCTCTGCACCCTTCCAAACATCCCTGCAAACATCACAAACACAAGTCCAGATTTGACATTGGCAGAAGTTATTGTGTCTGTGTTCCTAATCCCAAAGACTCACATACCCAGTGACTGTACAGTTTACCTGGCCCAAGGCATCATCTTCCTTGCCAGCCTACGACTGATGCAGAACCCAGCTCCTCCTGTGGCAAACCAGAAGTGCACAGATTTCTGGAGAGAAACAGCAGAGCAAATCAATGGCAGAGGCTCAGATGACACCATGCTCCCTGAGCTGGGAATGCTACAAACACAGCTTTGACAGAGAGATAAACAGCCCTATTGTCACCCCCCAGCTGCTGCCCAGTACAAGCACCTGTGGGCAACACAGTCCCAATTTTGATCTCCTCATATGGCTGGGAAGTCAGGATGAGCAAAGACTGCAAACATGGCACTCTCAACCAAAGGGAAAAAAAGCCAGCAGGGGTGAGTAGACCATTGGCCAAATTACAGCATGTGTGCTAAGAAAGGTTAACTGAAAACCAAGGCTAAGTAGTGCCAGCTGGTCCATTTGGAGCAGCCAAGCTCCTGCAGTGGAAAGTGGGCTGCCCAAGGCAGGCTGGTCTCCCTGCAGATGGGTACAGCAGAATTGTTGAACATCACCTTTCTTCCTCAAGTGAGATTGGAATGAGTCAACACATGCTACCATATTCAGACAAAACCACTCAGTTTTCCGCTTATGTCTCTTGCTCTTGCAACTTTTCTCTCATCAGAGTAGAGCTATGGCCAATGAGTCAGAGCATTAAAACCAATCCCCAGCTGCCCCACCCTGCCATAGGCTGTACCGTTTGGTTGTTAGACAGTGTTTCAGAGGCTTGAATGGGTCGGTTCAAGCTGGGTTTCCCTAGGTAGACATCCTTCATCGCAGAGTATGAAGACAGGAGCTTCAGGAGGGCCTCAGGGTTCAGATAGTTGTCATCATCCAAATGGCAGAACCAGCTGGAGGGAGACAGGAGGGAATATACAAGAGATTTGCAATAAGGAGGTGCCAGCATCCCCAAGAAGAAGTTCACTTTCACAGCAGCCCCAACTCACCGCTTGTTACTGGACAGGAATGCATCAAACTCTGCAGACATCTTGCAGGAGAGGGCTGAGTGGCTGTGCTCAGTAGAGCAGTTGGTGAACACCACATGATCACCTGTGGACAGAGAGAAGGCTGTTGCTTAGGGCTGACTCATACAGACATGGAGAAGACTTCTGGGCAGGAGGGAAGAGGTTTGATCACAACCAGATTCACCATGGCCCCTCAGTCCAAGTCTGCTGTGATGTTGGCTTCATCTTCCACCCTCTCAACACTTTTCTTCATCAACCTCAACACATTCCCTCCGTACAAGCCTTCTTGGAAGGCAGTTCCTTGATTTTATTTTTGCTTCTTCTCTTCACTCATATATATATATCAACATATAAGTGGGCTTTTAAGAAAGACAAAGACTTACTGGAGTTTGTAATCATAGAATCGTTTAGGTTGGAAGGGCCCGTAAAGGCCATCTGGTCCAACTCCTCTGCAGTGAACAGAGACACCTACAGCTAGATCAAGGTGCTCAGAGCCCCTCCAGTTTGACCTTGAATGTCCAGAGGGATGGGGCATCCACCACCTCTCTTGCAACCTGTTCTAGTGCCTCACTGCTCTTATTATAAAAAACTTCTTTCTTACATCCAGTCTGAATATCCTCTCTTTTAGTTTGAAGCCATCTCCCCTTGTCCTATCCTAACAGACCCTGACAAATAGTGTGTCCCATTCTTTCTTACAGGCTCCCTTCAGACATTGAAAGGATGCTTTCAGGTACCCAAATGGAAAGACATTTGGTCTCCAAACAATAAGACTACAAACAAGAGTTTTAAACTCAGAGTGAAAATTAAATTGTACATTAGAAATTTTTCACAGTGCAAGTGAAAAGATGCTAGAACAAGAGAATTTGTGGACATCCTATCATTGGAAGTGCTTAAAGTTGGGACTTTGAGCAAGTTAATCTAGTGAAAGACAAACGCCCTTGCCCGTGGCAGAGGATTAGACTAGATTACCTTAAGATTCCCTCGCAGCCCAAATGATTCTCATATCTAGATTTCACTCCACAAGTCTCACTCCCATCCGAGCACTCTGACGTAGCTGTAGATGCCCCTGTTCATTGCAGTGGAGTTGGACTAGATGACCTTTAAGGGTCCCTTCCAACTCAAGTGATTCTATGATTCTATGATTCTGAGAAAATGGCATAGTAGGGACAAGAGTTTAGTCATCAGCTCAGCACACTGCTTTCCAAATTGCCATCACTGCACTTTGCAGATGTCAGAACCCTTATCACTACTTCACTGTGGCCCCCACAAGAAAATAAAGCCCAGAAAAAGCAAAGAATCCTGCATGAGGTTAGATCCCCCGCTACTACAACTCTACCTGTAGCCAGAAAGGGTACAGGAATCAAGGAAGGGCTTTCTCCCATGCTGCTTGCACTGTGTGGCTACAGCCTGGAGCTAGCCATCCTGCCTGGCCCCCTCCAAAGGCCGTGTTAGCTCAGAGTGAAGGCAGAGATGGTGATATAGGAAAGGTGGTTACCCATTCTCCTCTTCAAGGCATCATCTTCTTCGTCTGTGAAGACATACGTCTGGGGAGATGAGAAAAGGATGTTACCATCAGGCGTGGAGCTGGTGCTTCTACTGCATTCCAGGCACTAGGCAACAAAGAGGAGGGACAGTGGCTGTCCCAGTCCTTTCCTTTCCCACTAAGGCCGCTCCAAACCCTCACAGGCTGTGCATGCAGACCTCACCACCACTGTTATCCCCATGCCCTCCCATTCCTTCATGCTGCTTCCTTCTGCTGGCCTGGAAGGGCCTGGGAAGCTTGCACAGTCCTGGGGGTTGATCTCTGCCCTGAACAGAATCAGCGTTCCTTTGTCATCCATCACCCCCAGCCAGCACCATCCCTGCCTGCACTGCTTTATTTTCTCCTGACGCTTCGGAAAGAGGAACAAGAGGGCCTGCAAAACTGAGAGAGAGGGTGGAGGAGGCCTGATTTAAGTGTCAGTTGGAGAAAAATGAAAAGCACTGTGGCCAAGGAATGCTCAGGCTGAAAGGAGAACATCTGTTTGTGTGTTAAGTGTGCTCAGCCCCCTGCCACTTCCCTGCCTCCTCCTTCTCTTCCTCCACCCCTAGGCTCTCTAATCCCCCTCTATGCCATTATGTGGCACATCTCCCCCTCTTTGGGTCCAGGCAGGGATCACAGCTCGGGGAGAAAAGCTTTCCTCAAGCAGAAAATGAGCTTTCATGAAATCAAAAAGGAGGTGCAAGCCTTAAACAGTCTCTCCACCAGCTGCCTACAGGCTGGTTAAACAATGCACCTGGGCATGGACAAAAGGGACGAGGCAGATGGACAGCAGCTCCTAGGAGCTGTCACTGCTCTGATGAGACGTCCTTGTTTCGACACCACCCCACATTCACCAAGTGCTTGGGTTTGGTGATATGCCCTGCATCAGCAATGTGTGGGAAGAGAAATGATCTGAACACACAAGGGAGGCCCTCAGAGAGCACCCAGTCAAGCAGAGGTGGCAGGATGGACAATCTCAAACATGCAAGCTGTGGTGAGTCGGCAAATTCCTCGCCTGTCTCACAGCTGATTGCAAAAACTGACTGTGCATACAGTCCTACCATGCCTCAGCAAGATAAGCCCTCTTAGTTTAAACCACTTTTAAGGTGGTCATGGGACTGGAAGCAATTAGCAAAGTCACAGGTGAAGGAGTCCGGAGTCAGGTGACCGTATCTTAATGTTCAAACACAGCAGGAATTTCCAGCAGCATGGGACTCGCCTTGCCAGCACATCCAAAGGCAGAAATTTCCACTATAACAAACGTTTCATCTTAAGAAAACAATTCTGAAACCACTGAAACTGTTCAAAAAACAGAAATGTTTCTAGAAATGACTTGCTTACAGTTGCAAAATCAACCAGAAATCACGTGTCTAATAAACTGCATATCTCACTGCCTATTTATCTTTCTATTAATGGAAATACTCTGAAGCACTCACATTCCCCTAGATGCAAAGGGGAATGTTTACTTGCAGACACCTGGCATACTCCTTTAGGAACCCAAGGCCCATGCCACCTTCTCTGGCAGGTGGACCAATGGCCCACAGAGCTGCCATTCTACCACAGCTTCCCACTTGCCTTCTGCACCTCACCTTCTCTAAGACCATTTCTCCTGCCAGGGATGGAGGGAAACCACACCAGGAGCAGGCTGGAAGACATCCTTCAGTTCTGGACCAGAGAAGTGGGAAAAGATGTTTGACGGGTGCTAGCAGTGATATGGAGCCACTGGTGTCTAATGAGTTGACCAGGCAGCTCTTTATGAACTTAAGTACACATGTGGTGGATTAACACAATATTTTGAGGCTTCCTCAGACCAAACTGGAAAGTGACCCAAGCAAGAAAAATGAGAAAAAGGGAATAAATATGTGGAACCTGACAGTCAGGACATGAATCTCCCAAGCTCCCATAGTATTCCTTCCCCAGGAAAAAACAGCCTCCAGAATGCAAACACATCGACAGGGGTAATGGTACAGCTGGACAGGAAACTGTTCCCTTGCCCAGAGAAGAGATTCAAAGTCTACAGTGTGTTCACAACACCAAAAGCATGAAAAAACATTTCAGGGTGGGTCACTCCAAGTTTTCATTTCCATCAGTTGGATGTTTGGGTTGCTGAAAGGAAGGGTGCTGGAATTTGTTTATATTACCAAACAAAATACTGTTTCAGACCAGAAAAACTAGACTTATCTCCATCAAAATGTGAAGAGGCCAACAGTACCAGCAACTTCAAGATGCTGTTCAGCCTAAACAGTCATCAAAACACTTGTGCTTAGATAAAGCTTTTTCTAACTAAAAGACTTTTTCCTCGACAATTTGGCTCCTGCACAATCTCTCCTAACCATAAAAGATCACAGCTGGCCCTGCCTCCTGCTGCAGTCACCTAAGCCTGGCCTTTGAGGTCCAGGTTACTTCCTCTGGGAGGGCACTGTGCAGGAACCAGCTCAGAAGCCAGGCTTGGCATCAGGAGCATGGCCAGCTGACAAAATTTCCACACTCGCTATATATTTTTTATTTGTTGACATTCATGTATTTCTCTTTGCCTCCCCATCCCTCCCCTGCCCTCAAGGCCATTTAGTACAAAAAGCAGAAGAAAAACATGGAAAATTGAGGGGGGCTGGGGGAAGGAAAGTGCTGAGCTTGTAACAAAATTTGATAACAATGAAAAAACACTGTTTAAAAATGACTGACCCTCCCATTTGACCCCTTCCTTCCTATTCTCCTACAAATGAAGTTTTCCTATTGGTGGGCACCAGCACAGAAAATTCACTGCCTCTACCCATGTTGGAACATCACTCGTCTGCCAGAAAGAGATGGTCTGGTGAATATGGGGAGACACTGTCTAAATCCTATCATAGAACCATAGAATGACACAATCACGAAGGTTGGAAAAGACCTCTAAGATCACCTGGTCCAACCACCAGCCCATTCCCACCATGCCCACTGCCCACGTCCCTCAGTGCCACATCCACACAGGTTCTGAACATCTCCAGGGATGGTGACTCCACCATCACCCTGGGCAGCCTGTGCCACTGCAACACCACTCCTTCTGAGATTAAATTTTTTTTCCTGAAATCCAACCTGGACTCCCCTAACATAAGGCCATCACCTCTCATCCTATCATTTGCAGGACAGTAAGACGTCTGTCTATCAACTGCACAAGAAGGGAAAGTTGAGCTGCTGTGTGCAAGCCCACTCCAAAAGCTCAGTTGTAAGTGTTGTTTAAAATGTGTGCCCATGGAGCAGTTTGGTTTCTCCAAAGAACTGTTGGGCTTAGAGGAGAAGTGCATGTGGAGGAGGAAGCAGGGTCTCTCAGATGCTTAGGAGAGTCACACAGACAGGAGAGGAAGTGTGCCTGAAATAGGACACGATTTCCTGTGACTACCACAGCAGCACCAGAAAACCCTGCACTGCTTCAAGCACTCTCCTACCCAAAACCTCCACCCCCGCCTCCCTTCCGCACATAGGCCTGAAGTCATCTTGTTGCATGCAGGCAGAGGCAAAAGGAGAAAAAAAGAACCGTTTGGGGACAGCCGCAGGATTTTTTTGTTCTTGAGGAGCAGCTTTGTGAGGGGGGAGAAGCAAGGAAGAGAACATCTGCCCACCACAAAGCCACCCTGCAGAGCAGCACAGCTCCATACCCTGCAAACTCATGGTATGAGGAGGTTGGAAGCCACTATTTCAGATAGGTTATGGAAGGTCTGTTCTGCCCATCTGGGATGTCCTGGGCAGTCTGTGGTGTTCATCATTAGACATAATGAAAGAAAATCCCTTCCATCTCAAGCCAAAGGAGTTGGGGTTAGGTTAGGCAATGGTGATGCTTGCTAAGAGCACTCATAAAATCATAGAGTATCTCGAGTTGAAACAGTCCCTTCAGGATCGAGTCCAACTCCTCAATTCACACAGTACCACACAAAAATCAGACCCCATGTCCCAGTCTTCATGGGAAGTGCATGCTTCAGCCCCTCTGACCACCATAACTAAGCACCAGTGGAAGCTCGAGCCTCTCTGACCACCCTCCCCATGAACCAGCTATCAATGCAACATTTCACGCGATAGCATCCACCTTTCAGCGTGAACAGAGATGAGCATTAGGGAAGATGAGGCAAAAGGAAGCAACACAGTGCCCAATCTCCCCTTTTGTTGGCTTTGTCCTTCCCCATAGAATCCCCTCGCCCTGTACGCTCTCTGTAGCCCAAATCCACATGCTCACCTGCTCTCTTGCCTGGGATATCCACGTGTCCAGGAGCAGCTCCATCCTGCTCTGGTGAAATCTCTTGGTGGTCTTCACAGCTATGAAAACATCCCCAAGGGTCAGGTTCCCTTCTGTCTTGTATTTGTCCTGAGAACGGACTTGCAGGTCCCTCTGCCCAGTGCCACCACCTCCCTTGGCATCCTCTGGGCTCTCATGTGTTTGTCGCTTTGGATTCTCCAGCATCTGCTCCCTGAGCCCTGGGTACCCTGAGGTATCCTGAGCTCCACGGTGCCGTACAGAGAGGAGAGCCACACCGACCAGAAAGACTGCAGCTCCAGAGAGACCCCGTAAGAGCCGACGGCCCATGGCTCCCAGATAGCCCAAGCAAGGACAGCTTCAGCCAGCCTGTACCTCCATGTGAATCTCTCTGCTCTTCTTTAAGCCTTTAGATGGGTGAGATGAACTGAGAGTAAGGTATGAGTAGGATGTGGCCACAGACTTGGATAGATGAAGACCAGCAAGATAAAGCAACAGATGAAACAAGGGGAATTTCCACAGACCAAGGGCACCGATCATCCAGCAAGATGCAGACACGTGATGGGAAAATACTCCGAAGTAACTGATGGGTGGCTGGCACAGGCTATCAAAGGGACAGCAAGCATTCTTGCTCCTGGTCGTGAAGATGAGAGTCCTGGTATGGATGTGGAAGGGTCAGGAGAGGAGATCAGAGCCATCAGCGGGGTATCCAGACAAAGACATCAGCTCCTCAGAAGACAGCAGCCAGTGTATCCAAGCCATGGGCTCGTGGGACTGGAGCAGGGCTGTGGGAAGGGGCTGCCTGGCCGTCCACCTGCTCCCTCTGTGTGGCTGGGTCCCTGCCAGCCCCCGGTCCCGCCTCCGGGCATGGGGCGGAGCGCCAGCCCCCGGGGGAGGAAGAGGATGAAGGGGGGAGGATGAAAAGGGGCAGCCCCCAGGCTGAAAGCGGATTGGCTTCATCTGCTGCGCCGGATGCCCTGGCTGGGAGCACTCCTAGGTGACGAGTAGCTGATGGGGAAGGACAAACCTGTTGCTTGAGTGGTTGTCCCCTTCCCCTGTGAAAGCCCAGCCCCTCCTGCATGGGAGGGCACAAGCCCGGTGCAGCCTTTCGCTGCTACAAGGGCATAGGGAATGGATGCACGTTCAGGTCAACAGGATCTCACTAGTGTCTGGCTCCCACGTCTGAAACTCATCTCCCAAACCACAACGCCAGCCCACTCACTCTTGAAAACCCCTTTCCCACTGCCCCACTGCCCCCCAGCACAAGGACCACTGCGTTTGGGGTCAGCACCATGGACTGCCCCGTACCGTTTCTGGGTCAGCCGCCTTTAGGCCACTCCAGCGAGCACTTGAGGGGTACAGAGAGGTAACCAGCCCGGGTTGGAGATGGAGTCCACCCCCACCCCGGACTCGGTGGAGAAGCAAGCGTGGGGACAGCAGGATGACAGCGCTCCACATAAAAATCAGAGCGCATCCTTAGGGAGCTGCAAGCTGTGGGCATTGAGTCTGAGCACAGCAAAAAAAATAATAATAATAATAAAAGGGAAAAAAAGGGGGGAGCGGGGTGAGGCATAGCACCCTGGATGTGCCGTGTGACAAAGACCTTCTCCCTTGCATGTCTGATTCTGAGTGGTTATAAAAGGAGGTTAGGGCAGGATCAGGCTCCCTCTGTTGCATGCTCCCACTGTGTGGCCGGGGCATGGGGAAGATCTCCCTGCAGGACTAAAATCCCTATTCTTTTACATTGTTTTGAGGTAGGGGGAGGGTGTAATTCCTCTTCAGGCCTTACTTTACTGCAGGAATGTGAAGTTGGCGTAACCAGTCCACTGCCACCAGACCAATGGGATGGCCCCCATGACTCATCCCTGCTCCTGAACCAGAAATGACCCTCTCTGAGTAGTTCAGCCACATAGGCGTACCAGGGGCATCTGGCACAGGTTACTCAGAGCAGCTGTGGGTGTCCCATCCCTGGAGGTGCTCAAGGCCAGGTTAGATGGTTGGATGGGCAGCCTGACCTGCTGGATGGCAGCCCTGGTTGGGGCTGGGTGGGACTTAAGGTCCCTTCCAACTCAAGCCATTCTATGATTCTGTGGCTCCCAAGCATCCTGCAGTACTTGCCATCCCTGGCTCAGGAGGTCTTCTGGGAAAGAAAGGGGGACACAGGTCCCCAGAAGAGCCTGCTGGGGGCTGCCAGGGTGACCCAAACCACCTTGTGCAAAGGATGTTGCTGAGCAGTAGAGCAGGTTCTACCCAACCAAGTGCAAACCCAAACATGCCCAAAACTAGAAGTGACCTAAAGCTGCTTCAGCTCTGCTTGGGATAGCATGGGGAAGGGCTGGTGGCCTCCTGCCGTGACACACACATCACTTGGCCCCTGCCTTCCCTGGAGGGAGAAAATTTGCTCTCATTGACTTTACAAGGGTTTTATGCAAGGCTGGCACAGCTGGTAATTGATGCCCAGGGCTGCTAATTGCATTCTGCCCATTACCTAACCCGTGACTCATTCCTCTGAGCACACAGCTGCACCCCTGGGGACACAAATGAGGTGGGCAGGGTGTGCAGGGCAGGGGAGCATTATGTTTGTCTCAGAGCTCTCTGCCCCTTTTCTCAACCATGTCCAGGACTAGTTGTAGCTGGATTCTGAAAGCCTCCAGGGAGACAAGCTGGACAAAAGGAGGGTTTAGAGAAGGAGCAGCAGTCTGCCTCTCAATGCAACTTTGCTTTGCCTCAGTTTCCCTCCTGGTGAAACACAGATGGCCCAGGGAGGTGTGTGGAGAAATCTGTTTTGCTGGGGGGTAGCAGCTCCTCAAAGCTATGGGTATTGCTCTGTAATCAACCCAGCCATGAGGCTGGTGATAGCTCCAGTGCCAGAGGGCAGGAGGAGTTGTCAAGTTTTGAATCAGTGCCTCACAAGCAGTATTTTCCCTGGGTACTCAAACTTCATTTTTTCCCCTGAAAAGCTGCAGGCTCCAACCTCCTTCCCTTGCAAACCCAGTGTGCTTTGGGACTGTCTTCTCATCTGCTCAACAAGAGCCCTGCTTTGTTCACCTGCAGGGCATCTGCCCTCCCAGGGCTGACAGTGCTGGGAAGCCTGAGCTGGTCCCCTGGAGGGGGCAGCACTGGGGACCTCCTGGCTGGAGCCCCATTACACCAATCCCCTCCATAGCTGCACGGCTCCAGGGCAGATCTGGGACTTTGCTCTACATTTAAGTGACTGCAGGTTAAAGTATTCTTTTTTTTCCTCCCCCCTTCACTCTTGTCCTCATAAAAGACACAGACAACTGTTTTAGCGCCTGAAATAACACCTCACAAGGGACCCATGAAGATCAGCAAGTTAATCTTTACTTGGAGCTTCAGAAGTGCATAGCAGTATCAGTTCCCTAATCATAGGGGCAAGGAGGATATGGAGATCTAGAGTCTGTAGTGCTGGTGGCTCATTAGTTTTCCCATTGACCCCAGCCCACTGCCCAGTCTCCTGCTCCATGGAGATTCCCATAGCCCCCATTTTCCTTTTGTGTGTCTCAGAAAACCATCTATCTTTCAAACACTTGACCTTGTCCATGAGAAGGACAAGACGGTTGGCTTTTCGCTTCATGATAACCAGGATATAGAGGAATGTGAAAGTCTAGGAACCTTGGCCAGACACCAAGTAACCTTCTCAACAAGTAATTTGGATATTGAGAAAAATTTCTTCTCCATAGGAGAGGTTGGACACTGGAACAGTCTGTACAGGGAAGTGGTGGAATCACTATCTCTGGAGGTGTTCAAGAAACATGTAGATGTGGTACTTAGGGACATGGTTTAGTGGGCAGTATTGGTGGTAGGTGGACAGTTGGACTACATGATCTTAGAGGACTTTTCCAAACTTGGTGATTCTATGTTTCTCCTTGGCTGAACTACCTTCAGAGCTGGGGAGAGGGAAGCAGCTGAAAAATGGGGGACAAGAAGACATATGAGGAAGCCTGGCCTGTGGCACACTCAACCTATCCTCTCCCTGTCCCTCTTGCTTCCCTACAACAGCAGTGCTGTCTTCTACCCCTACAGGGCTGGGCAGATGTGTCTCAGGAGAAAAACATGCACACATATCACCCAACCCTTCCCATTAACACACAAGTCTGCAGCCAGCCTCCCATTCCCATTATGAATGGTATTTAATTCTCCTTTACACACGGGTTGCCGATAAAAGGGCCCATTAATAATTTACAAGCAATAAAGAGTACAGCTCCCATAAAACGAGGGTTGGTTGCAAACTTAGTGTCAGTCATGGCTGCAGCAGGGTTTTTGCAGACAAACTGTGTTTCCTGCTCCATGGGGCAGGAGATGAGGTAGAGAAGGGAAAATAGAGGTGATGAGAGAAGGGTTTTAATGCACTTAAAGATGTGCATTCGTGAGATATGCTCCTGATCAACCTCATCTCACATGTTTTCCTCGTGTACCCGATCTTACCATGTACCAGAGCCAAAGGCTTAAGGTGATGGGGACAGTCCATGATATGTCCAGCAAGAAGGTGGAAGACTTCTCTCCAATCAAATATGGAAAGCTCAGGCTGGTGGGTCAGCACATGTTACGTCCCCAACTCTTCATAGCTTCAAGTGGACCTTAAATGCTACCTGGTCCCATTACTGCTGGCTTCCCCTTGGAGAGAGAGAACTTGCTACATGAAGGACATCTCCTGGGGAAGGCTCTATACCTCCTGGTTCAGTCATCACCATCCTCAACCCACAGCGGGCGGTTTTGCTCCTGGAAGATGCAGCCCCGTACCACCTTGGGCAGTTCTTCTGCATGGCTCCAAGCATGGGGCTCCACGCGGGCCCAGGAGCAGGGCAGGGCATGGAGAGCCCGCTCAGCACCACGGCATGCCTTCAGCACCTCCGCGTCCCGCTGGCCAGGTTGCCCCAGCAAGCTCCTGGGGAACACAGGAACAAGCATCACCTTCACATAGACAGATGGAGTTGCAGAACACCAACGTTGCCCCAAACAAGAACCTTCTCATGTGCACGCAAAGTGGTTTTTTTGCCCTTCTTTTCCCCCCACAACAACCAAAACCAACATACATGCCTCTATTGCTGCCAACCCTCTCCTTCTGAACAGAGGTAAGAGGAGCTATAAGAAAGAACTGGACAGATTCTTTAGCAAGATATGTTGTGATAGGACAAGGGGAAATGCCTTAAAACTAAAAGAAGGGTGCATATAAGGAAACAGCTTTTATGATAAGAGTAGTGAAGAACTGGAACAGTTTGCTCAGTGGTGTGGATGCCCCATTCCTGGAGACATCCAAGGTCAGGCTGGAAGGACTCTGAACACCCTAGTCGAGCTGTGGGTGTCCTGTTCATTGCAGGGGAGCTGGACTAGGAGACTTTTAAGGGAACAACTTCCAACTCAAACAGTGCTACGATTCTGTGATTCTCCGCCCCTCCTGCAGAGAATCTGATGTCTTTGCCCGCCCTCCATCCATCCACATGGTCTTATCTTACCTGAGCCCCCTGATGTTCTTCTCAGTGACCTCAACGTGGATAACAATGGGGTATATCTCACGTTTAATTAGATCCCTCACACTCTGAACTCCCAGTTCCAGCAGGCAGTGTTTATTCTGGAAGGAAATTGAATAGATTTACTGATTTAAGTGGAGAAGAAATAGCTCCAGCCCCTGACAGATGCATTAAATCAAACCCCATACTGTGAAATATCATTGCTTTTCCAATAGTAATTCCATTAAATGTGGGATTTACAGACAAGGCCAAGATGGAAGGAGAGAATTACAGAACAGGGTCACCCACTCCATCACAGCCAGCCCAGCCCAAGAGCCTACCAGACGTCTCACTCAGCCTCAACCCATCTTCTCATCCCTTTCCTTATCATTGTCACCAACAGCCCCACATTTCTCCATTTGCCCTCAACAGAGCTCTTGCTGCTTTCTTTAAAATGAGGAACATGAAAGCAGGGAGGTCGCTTCTGCATATGGCACTTCCCACTCTCTCCCCTACCAGTTCCCATTTCTCTCACCAGGGCTTGAAAGAGACTCAGGGAAAAGCCCAC